GTCATGTCCCAGGGTCGGTGCAGAAGGAGAACTAGAAGGGAGTGTGGTCATGAAGCCTTCTGTGATAGTGAAATAGAGTGATCAGTTTTTCTTTTGAGAGTGGAAAGGCTATTGAAAAGTTGGAACAAATTGTACATCCTTCTCCTGAAGGAGAGAAAATAAAGGAATTGAAAGATCCTGGCCATGTGCTGTAAGGAGCCCATCAGGGATGCCATGTCCTGCCATTGCAGGCTTTGGCTGGAATGAAAGCAAGACCTTTGTTTGCAGTGAAACAAGTTAGTGTCGCTGGGAAGAGGCACAGCACACAAGCCTCTTGTGAGGGGGTTTGTGGAGGATCATCCTGTACATGCTGTTTCTTCCTGGGTTCAGCGTGTCACAGAGCCCTGCCTGGGGAAGGAACGGTGCTGGGCGGTCATCTTTGAGTAGCATGCTCTACCTTGGAGACTTTTGGGGGCTTCTTCCCTTGTGTCTCTGGGAAGTACCTTCACTGTAAGAGCAACCAGTTTTGCTTTCTTGTCTCATGCTTGGTGAAGCTAAACTGAAGGATCTACCAAATGTCCAAAATAGAAGTTAGCAGCAGTTTGACTGTTCAGATCCTTGTGGGATGAGACTCCTGAGCACCTGCAGATCTGCATAGAGGACTCCTAGCAGAGCATCATCACCTCTCTCTCAGAATCCCACCTCACGTTCTTACTCCTTTAGGACAAGATGTTTGCTTCTGCTGCTGTCCTGGAGAATCTTCTCACGTAAGAGGACACAAGTCCTGCTTACATTTTAGGGCCAAGAGGTATTTGAGCACCACCAGTTTGCTCTGTGTTCAGGATAGAACAGCTTAAGCAGCATTAGAGGTGAGCTCAGGCTTCACACACTGCAGTGGTCCCTCAGGCAGCCCCTGTGGCAGTTTAGTGTTGTTCTTCATCTCCATTGTATAATCTCATTGTTTAAAGGCACCCTGAAGAAAATCTCATTGCAAATCCAATTGCACATCTGACTACCTGTGTAAACTGTGACTTTGGCCTCTTCTGTTGAGCTTTAATACAACGTCTGAGGTGTGGAGCATAATCACAGCAGCTTCCAAGCCCTATGAAATCCCAGAGCAGCTCCCATGAGAGCTACAGGCTCTTAATGGGACCGTCAGTATCTCTGAGCTCATCAGCAAAGACAATTTAGCCATAATAAAAAATATAGCAATTAACTTTTGAGTTCAAGGGGCTCTTTAAAACAAAAAAAAAAAAATCCACACCAGTAGAATCTTTATACCTGTTACCTTCATCTGCTTTATCACAAACATCTGACCAATGAATTCTGGAACTCTGTTGAAGTATAACTGCCTGCCTGAGTTAATATTTGATACAGCCATTCCTCAATCTGGTGAATATTTTTTTCTGTAGCTAAGAATTGGAGTAGAAAAAGGAACTTTCATTTTTGTGACTGAACTAGAGACTGCTGTGTTACATTTCCATTATATGACATAGTGCCAGCATTCAGAGAGCCATCTGTGATTTTTCCTTTGAGTCTAACTATGTAGGAATAATTTAAATTATAAGCAAAATAACCCCCAAACCCTCTGGTATTCAGAGCTAGCTTTGCTTTCCATAGACCACATACAGAAGAACAAGAACAAATGGTCATAAACATGCACTGATCACAACAAGATCCTGGTGGAAGCATGAGTAGAAGTTTCTCCTCTTTTAAACAAGAAGGATCCCCATGGCCAATAGTACTGCTGAGTCTGGAGAAATGGGCACCTTACAAGGATACTGTTGTTTGAAACATTTACCCTCTTTCTGTTTAGGGTGCCGTGTGCTCGTGCTTGAATCAGTCAGTCTCTTACGGAAGTACCTGTCTGTCCTGGATGTCCTGGTGTCCTGCCTCCTGCCCAGAGATGCCCTCTTCATACTCACCGAGGAGGAGACAGAACAAGCCAGGGTGAGATGCATGGTACCTGCTTAACCTGCTTGGATAGCTCATCGTCATTGTGAAGGCTGTAGTCAGAAGGGTCAGACAGAACTTCATAAATAATTACAGAGAGGGATTATAAACATCACTAATGAATGATCTTCAGTGATTTGTAAATCATGAATGGACAACAAGTTGTTTCGTGTGCTGTGTGGATAGCAGGGCAGGGCTGAGGAGATTTGCAGCTCAGAGATGTTCAGTGGTTACAGTGCACTGAGCTCTACACCGTGTCCAGGATGTGGGATGTATTTCAGAGGAGACTGGATCCAACGTAATACTCTGAGCATGTGGGTGGCCTGTCAGAGAATGGCATGACTGCATGCCAGGAACAGCACCTTTGGATCACAGCTCCTAGGGATGGAGACAGCTTGTGAACTTGTGCTCCAAAGCCCTTTACAAGTTCCCTTCTCTACTGTGTTTTTTGAAGTATTTTGCTGCATGAGATCTCACATATTTAGCCCATAGTCCCCTGTATCAGAATCTAATCAGCTCCCCTTCCACAGCATGAAAGTATTTGCCCAGCAAACAGTTCTGTTAATCCACAAACTACAGAACTTCCCTGCTTCTGAGGCTGCTAAAAGGTAGAGTTACACATGGAAACTGATCTGATAAAGGTGGCATTATTCCCCAGTGGTTTTTGCTTCTGAAATCTGACCTTTCTAAGCTGATGCACTATAAATAGGCTAAGTTTCAGCTGGCAGTGCATGATCGGAAGCAGCATGCAGTGTTCTCAGAGGCACACCTATCAGGTTTCTGCTTCCCCAGCATGTGAACACCCAGGCATGAGATCACTTAGGAGGGAGGAGGAGTTACATGTGCCAAAGAACCTGTCACAACCCCAACCTGCAGCTGATAATGTCCATCCTAGCAGGACCCCTCTGAACACTAGGCAGCACAGCACAGTGACACGGGGCAGACAGGCCTCTCCCTGCCCTCTGACCCCATACTCTACGGGCAGCCTTCTACCTCCCACTGCTTCTTCCCTGCTCACTGAAAACAGGCTGCCCTGTAAACTGGCAGTGAACCTCACAGGAGGCCAGGCAGCTGTCCTCACGTTGGGTCTGGAAGGTTCCTGTAATGCCTTCTCCATTGTTTTTCCTTCTAGAGAGCCATGCGGTGCCACCGCAGCCAGCTCCTCTGGTTCCGCCACATCTATCTGCTTTTCTCACGTTACATGGTGATCAATTCACTTCAGCTTCTGTGAGAGACAGCACTCAACACTCCAGCAGTGAAAGAATGAGTGAAAAAGAAGCGCCAGGCCCAGGACTAAGGAAAACATACCTGTTACGTGCTCAAGAGGACAGGATTCTCTTTATGTGTCACTCTTTCAGACTACAGAAACCAGCTGTATGAACTTGCTTCTGAATATCCTGTTGCCTGGCACATTGAGATGAACAGGGTTTAACAGCTACTCTGCAGCTGTACAGCTCTTACCATAGAAGCTGAAATAAGATAAGAAATTTGGACTAGCCTAATTAAGAGTCAAATGCAGAAGACAGGGTACAAAGTGTTCTTCCTCAGGATACAGCAGCAAGGACTGTGTGGCAGCTCTCTGTTGGTGTTTTTGTGAAGTCCAGATATCAGGAGTAACTTTTCCAAGATCATGCTATCTCCACAGATAAAACCAGAACCACAAGACTTCTCTTATTCAGTCAGAACTTTAAAAAGCTGAAGCTTATGAATAAAACATCAGAAATCATACAGATTTCTGTAATTGCACTGATCTTTGCTGCTACTGCTGCTTCTTTCATACATGTTGTGTTGCAGGCTCCACCTCTGCAGAGCATCCCTCATGAAAAATGAGCATTTCTTCTTGCTTCAGATCATGGGGCTCAAGTTTGACTCAGAGGAGTTTCAACAGGACTTAAGATATGAGGTTGAAGAGACCCAGCCTGTAATGACACCTTTTATAGAACACATGCAGAGATAAAATTTGCAAGAGAAGTTCCAAAAGCTGTTCCACTTATGTAAAAGACAAGTGTGTGCATTAAAAATCCTCCCCCTTCATCTTAAAAGGTAAGCAAAGCAGCTTTCAGTGGTTTCATTTCCTAGCCTATACAGAGATTTTACTACTGGTTTGGGTTTCTGTGGCATCTTGGTGAGGCAGAGTCAGCATGGACATTTCTGTAGGCCTTTGCACTCACTCGTGTGGGCTCACATCTTTCCTGGATCTACACACGTAGTCATGGCAGACAAGATCAGAGCCCAGAATGCCAGATCCTGATCTGCTGCTGTGAGCACATCCTGCTCCTGAAGACAACCACCAAGCTCCTGGGTGCCCACTGCTTTAAGAGTATGACAGTGTTGAACTCCATTCTCTGACCATGACTCAGTGCCTGAGCATATGCTTGCTCAGCCTGAAGACCATGACTAAGTCCAGGTTTAAGCAAAACAGTACTTAATCACCCAGATACCTTCAGTGGCCTCTCTCTTGCACAGAGCCAAGCACTCATGTAAATGCTTTACTGAACTTGAGCCTCCTAAGCTCTGTCAAATCCCTTTCAGGTTCAAATCTGTGCTCAATTCATTGAAGTCAATGTAGAAAAAACAATGTAAGTTAGTATTATGTCCTAAGCAAGAGGTTATCTTATATAGAACATTTTTATAAGCCAAACTTGAAACACAGAAAATATCCATAGAATCAAAGATTAGTTTGTTTTTTTTTTTCTTGTACTTTGCTCTGTTTATTGTGATTTAAACTTCAGCCCAGCTAAGGGCAAAGTACCAAAGTAGCAGCCTTGGGGTGGATTATGGAACAGAAGTAGTTTGAAAGCTGAAAGTCACAAATGAAAGGGACAGGCAGCATAGAAAGATTTATTTATGAAACAGAGAACAGATTAATAATAATGTAGAGCCATCACCCAAGAAAGCTGAGACTACAGTTCCACAGCAGTGGTCCAAGTTCAGCTGCTGGATGGGTGTGTCAGGGTTTTGACATGTCTCTGATGGTCTTATGTTCCTTCACTGCCTTCTCCCATTCCTTGCCATTGATATCCTCTGTGACAATGGTCTGCACGGTGCCATCATCCAGGCAATGGGGAGCTATTCCTGAAGAAAGACAGAGTACAAAGAAACCTGCTTTTCAAGTGTTGGAGATGCCTGCACCACAGGGCATGGTAAATGCTCAGTCCAGCTACTGCTGTGAGGCTGAGGAGCCCAGGTGAGAAACATGTCATGGGCCCATGTATTATAGCTAACACTGCTTTTTATGGGGGAGCTCCAGGTTCAGATTGCAGTTCCAGATGTTTAGCATTTTAGGCACAAACTCTTAAGACACATGCTGCTCACTGCTGCCATGTTAGCATCCAGTGGAGCCTTTATCCAAGGTGTGCTTGGTGGTTAACTTTGGTTACCATAGCTTACTCTTTCCACCTACCATAACCATCTGGATTAGAACGAGGAGTATAAAAGCTCTGTACACCACAGGTCTTGCAGAATGTGTGCTGGGCACGGTGTGTGTTGAAGGTGTACGTTGTCAGATTATCAGCACCCTAAACAGATGAGAAGTAATATAGGTTTTCTATGTAAATACATATATTAACTGCTTTCTATGAGCCTGTAGCTAAAAAATGTAAGATTAAAAATACCACCTTTATGTTTTTACTTGAGACAGTTCTGCATTCAAGCTCCTTTTCTGAACCCCTGTGCTTTATAGACACATATGTGCATCCCAGTCAAGCCTGAGAACTACAAAAGCTCTAACGCCAGCTCACTAAATAAGATGCACTAACACACCCACACCTGATGGCATAAAATTCAGCCACTTCCCCCAACCAACCATAGACAAACTTAGGACAGACATCTGGCTGCTACTTGTATCTGTGAGGGTAACACCGAGTACAAACTGCTCATGCTCGTGGCCATGCTCTTACTGCATTCTCACTCTACCTTCAGCAGCTTGAAACGCGACGCTGGGACAATGAAGTGTCTGTTCTGTTTCTTTGTGCAAATGCTGCAGCTGTAAAAGAAAAAGCAGTGGACAAGTTGTAGCACAGCAGTCAGATCTAGCATGGGCCTCCTGACAACAGAAATTCCACTGACAGCTAAAATGGCTTCTGTCAGCATCACAGAGGTAAGCAGGAAAAGTGGACTCCTGGTATCAGCCACGTGTGGCTGAGCACACCCACGGAACAGACCAACCCTACACAGCTACACCAACAGAGTATTCTCCTACACCAAACATCATGGGCCATTTTTAATTCATGCAGTTCTGAAGAGACCTAACAAGGACAAACCCTAGTCCTGAGAAATCCATTTAATCTTTCAGACCAGACTTTGCCAATTTTGCCAACATTAATTACCTTGTAAACAAGAAAGTAAAGTTCAGAAGTTTACCCCTTGCACTAGAGGCAAACTAACTGCAGTAGTTGTTTATATTCACCTATGAGAATAGAGAATTAAAAAAAAAAACTCTCACTTGCAGTTAAAAACGTGCAGGTCTGCTGAAGCCCAGACCTCAAAGCGGACGGCTCCACAGTGACAGCCTCCTGTGTGCTTGACCAAACCTCTGTATTCACTGGAATGAGAAACAACAGAGAGGTTTTGTGAGCATATTTTTTTCTTTTTTGCCCAAGAAAACAGTAAGGCTGTACAGTACATTATTCAGCTCTGCTTTGAGCAAGTGCAGAACACCAAAAAATCTATCCGCTCAAATATATTTTAATAAAATGTGCCAGAGGGAAGTAGAGGAAAAAAGACTTTTTTCTTTTCTTCCTCCTCTAGAAGGAGGAAGAAGAAAAAAGAGGAGACAAAAAAGACTTTTGTCCTTTGCAGCAATTGTTTTTCTGGTTTAATTAAAATGGTAAAAAGGAAAGGAGAGCAACAGTTAAATGCCCTCCGCCTGCAACTGAAACATGAGCTCCCTGTCCCATCCAGGTTAAAACCCCGGCCCAGGCTACAGCCTTATCCTGGAAACGAGACAGCCCTCTTGGTACCGGGAACTGCATTCTCCTGCAGTTTTCCCACGACTGCTCCAGCACTACTAGTAGTCCTCCGTGTAATAGCTGGGAAAAGCAGCAAAATGCATTCTAGCTGAAATGCATTTTAGTTTGTGTTGCAATTACAGAGGAACTTCATGATCAAGGAACCTCTGAGCTTGTGCTTCCCCCTTCCCCCTAGGACTCCTCCATAGCAACGGGGCAGAATCACTGCTCGGTCAAACGCCAGAGGCGAAGGAGAAGCGTTTTCCTTTCAGCCTTTCACTCCCCCGGGACCGTTACCGATGGCAGCCCAGTGAGGATGTGCACTGCTCTGGAAAGAGCGAGCATAGGAAATGGGCGGAGGTTTGGGAACCGAGCCTCACAGAGCCCGCACGATGCCCCCAGGGCATTTTTGATGGGAGAGCCCTAAAGCACAGGAAGCTTCAGCACAAAACGCCACTCTCTCCGCGGTGCGCGCAGGGGACACCCCCTCGCAC